TGCAAGGATACTGAAGGACCGTGTAGAGTAAGACTCCCTTCTATAAACACTGACCTTGAACTTCCTCAGACTATAGGCAAGAGGAAATAAACTGCTATTGTGTTTGAGCCACTATACATTTTGCATCTATATGTCGTAAAAGTTAACCTACATATTATCTAATCTATCACTAGGAATTTTCATACAGCCTGTCCAGACAACGAGGACAGAGTTAAACAGTGATGCAATATAACATTTACATAGCACTTCTCAATACACAAAAGCAGTTCATAAACATCTCATTTTGTCCTTATCCTACTCTTATAAGACATTAAGAGTTTATAGATAATTATGAATAATTTCCGACAGAAATAATACGTCTTGCCCATACTTCTACCATACTTCTAATTTAAAAAAGACTACTAACAAACAAGTTTAAAAACAGGTACAAAAAGAAAAACAAGAAGGAACTACTGCTTTTTTCCAACATGTCATTAAGATATACATATTACAGACCTGTGTGTTATAATCTGGTGCACAGCAGTAAGAGTTCTAAATATTTTCTCCTTTACTTTTTTTAGATTTTAGGTGTCTATCCCCTAAATAGCATGGAGAGATATAGCACCAAAAGAATGAAATAAATTTGAAGTTACAGTATATAAAAAGAAAAAAAACCTTGTTAACTATGGGCTCAATAAAAGAAAAGAATACATCTGCCTTATTGCACAATTATTTTCTGTAAAGATATAGATCTTACATGTTATTCCTTTACCCAAAAACTTTGAGTGATTCTTTCTTTTCTGAAAATTAAAGACCAAACTGCTTAATTAGCATGCAAATCAGGAGTTGTCACAATCCCACACCAGTCCCCTTGTAGTAAGTAGCCTCTAACAGCTCCAATGACCTTTGCCTCATGGAAGCTATACCATGCCAGTGGTATAGCCTCCCCTTGTGTGGGTGCTGGGCCTAGTGACTGTTAATGGGAAAAAAAAAAACCAACTCTGTAAAATTATCTGAGCCAAATGTGTGTGATGGGCCTGGAATACATGGCCCCAAGAGGTCCTGAGAAAATGTGCCCATAGTAGCTGAGTTATAGTTTGGTTTTACCCATTCATAGAGAGGGGTATTACACATAAGATCAAAAGCCAGTACTTGGATGTCACACATAGGTTTGGCCAGAAAAAGCAGGACATCTCAAAGTAGGAGGTTAGGGGAGGGGCTTACAGGTTATGGGGGGGTTAAAGATTTTTTGATTTGTAATTTGTTAAAGAAGCAAATCTTTGCCTAAAGGCTGGGAATGTTTTAACTTAAGGAAATCTGTTAATCAGAGACAAACCACCACATTTACCAAAACTCAAGTGTTCTGTTAAATAAATTGATGACCTGCAGGTATGGTTTAAACTGTTTTACATAACCTTATGCCTGTTAATAATTCAGTACCTTATTATGACAAAGAATACCTCCAAAAACAGAGGGGGCACGGTGAAATATATCTGACTTCCCTTCTCATGGCCAGCTACTCAGCTATCTGAGGTCCCTTGGCCAAAAAGGGGTCTATTCAGTTAGCTGGGCAGCTTAAGATTTTTAGATTAGATGACTATTTCTGCATTTAATGGCTAGGATATAGCAAAAGTGACCGGATGTCTCTGCTTCTCTCTCCAGCTATCTCTTTATCTCTCTCTCTCTCCTGCCCTTGCTCAAATTTTGTAAGCTGCTGACAGAGAGGTGCCTGTGATAAGGTACTACCATCTCAAGCCAACAACCAGCCAGGACCTGAGATCTAACAAGAGTTGTATGAGTGAACCTGGAAGCACAACTTCCTCCAGCTGGATTTATGTAGCCAAGGCTGAGAAGGCTCACTAAGAAAGGGGTTTGAAGGGGGAATGGGAGGAAAATCTGATCTTGGGAACAGGAAAGTCTGGAGGGCCTCTAAGAAAGTGAGTATGGGGTAACCTAGGTAACCAATGACCAATACAAAGAGACAATCAGTGACCAATAGAAAAGGGTGATAATGCCTGGAGGCGCAGAGGCCAATGAAAGAGTTGTAGCCAATTTCAAATGGAGAGAAAGAGGGTATCATTTGCATAGACTTTGTACCTCTGTCTCTTTCAACTTCTCTTCCTCATGGGGGAGGGACCCACTTCCAACTCTCTTTGGAAGTGCTCTAAACTTTCTCTTTGCCCTTCCTAAGTAAAATTCCTCTTTATTGCACTAAAACTTGGGGTTACTTTTGCTCTCTATTCATGCCGCCTGTGTTGCTCCAGTTATGTTTCCAGTTTCCATTTATTTTTATTTTCAATTACCCCTGTGCCTTAGTTAAACTTTCTAGCTCAGCCAAGTAATCAGACCAGGTCAAATGGACTCTGGAGACTGGGAAACCCAATCCCCAACAAAGGCCAACACCTTGAATACATCCTTGTGAGAGACTGAGCCAGAAGGCACAGCTAAAGCACACTAGGATTCCTGACCTACAAGTATTCTGAGATAATACAATTTGTTGTCTAAGCCACTAAATTTTGGCATAAATCATTACATAGCAAAAGATAGCTGAAATAGTAATTCCAGTTCCTCATTTATTTTTTTAAGTATTAGGAATGGAGAAACAGTGTTTTAAGCAATCAGAATAAATAAGCAAAAAATTTTAAGATGTGGTCTATAAACTTAAAGAAGTATAGCTAAAGCCTACAGTGCATGTTACATACATGCCCAGGAGAACACATGCAATGGCCTGGGGGACTAATTAGAGATCAGGCTACAGTCTCAGGGAAGGACCAGATCTGACAAAACCTTAAACTTTAATTAGGAATTTGTACTTCAACTAAGAATAATGAGACTCATTGAAAACTTTAGGCAAGAAGGTAACACAAACAGATATCAAGTTTTGAAAGGTGACCAGATACCAATATGGAGACTGGACTGAAAATAGTTAATTCTGGAGGAAGGGAAACCAATTAGGATCCTGGCAGCAATTTAACTAAATGAACTATCATTGATATTGAGAAAAATGCATAGAATCTGATGGCTAATAAATGGATCAAGACAAAAGAACAGAAGAGACAACAGTGATCCCAGAGTTTCAAGTTTCAGCAATTAGGTAGATGAGGATACCAGGGAACTCTTGATTACCTGGGCACAAAACAGATCTGAGAAGAAAGTAATTAGTTCACTGGGGGACATGATGAATTCTAGATGCTTGAAGCCCATTCGAGTAGATAAGCTCATTATGCTGACAGATAACAGGTCTGAAAATGAGGTGATATCTTGGTTAAAGATTAGAGATTTTGTGGCACTGGAAGTCATGAAGGTACAGGTATAAAGGTATGCTCAGGATAAGTACATGGCATGAAATAAGAATCCAGGATAGAACCCAGAGAAATAGCAACAGTTAAAGGATAGATAGAACAAGAGGAGACCAAGAGAAATATCAAAAAAAATCAGGAAAACCAAATAATTATGCTGTCAAATTACACATTATATTTTTTATGATGGCCAAATATGGTCAGATGCTAAGTCTATAAGGAATCCTTCAGAATAGTGTCAAGTAATGACACTGTTGTGATCTAGGCAAAAATAGTTTAAATATAGTGGTTGAGACAAGAACATGGAAACAGTGAGTTTAAACAACTTCTATTCCTTCATAATCTCCAACAGTGATGGCTCCTGTTTCACTATTACCAGAACAAATCAATCTGAATAAATGACATTATATAACTCATCAACCAAAGAACCAATCATATAGTAGATGTTTAATTAATGAGTTAAGCTAGATATATAGGAAGATCATTGACCATATATAAAACCACTAAAAATTAGAATCACTTGTTCACATGAAAGCAACATGTTTTAGACAAGGAAATTGCTCTTTCTATTTGGGTTCATCTCACTATTTAACTTTTTTATATTTAACCAGTCTTGTACAGCTACCTTTATTTTGGATTTAGGAATAGAATACTGGAAAATAGAACACGAATGCTATTAACAAAGTAAGGTTTGAGAACAGTCATACAGACAAGCTGCCACAGAAGGAATGGTCTGGGGAAAAGGCACAATGTTTTATGAGCTGGCTCTTTAAAAAATAAAAATAAAAATAAATAAAAAAAAAACCCTTCTTGGGAGAATTAAAACCTGAATCCCTGATTACTGGCCCAAGAAGTGTTTTTTTATTTTATTTCTGTACCACAGAAGATAAGCTCAACAGAATTCTCCGGGCAGAGGTCATGAGACTGTCTTTACAGAATTACAATCATGGGATCAATCATGTCCATCAGCTACAGTTAGACAGCAATAGCTCAAACTCCCTGTAAAGGCTCTGCTGTGTTTCTGCTTACAGATAGGACAGTGGTACCTAAGGACAGCAAATTAATAAACTTCTCTTTTCTTCTCCTTGAACCACTTGTCCTCATTCTTCTCATGCAGCCTCAGGAACAAGTCTCCAATTTTCAGTAACAAAGCAAAGAATGTACTTCAGCCATGATTTCAGAGGCAGAAAGACCTGGATTTGACATCTAACTCAATGTCACTAAACGTGATGTGTACTGTTGCACAGTTAGCCATCTTTTTAAGCTTTAGTTTCAACCTCAAAATGAGGGTGCCAATAGCTATCTTACAATGTTGTGTAAAGGATAAGCCCATTTTAAATTACACTGCTTCCTTTGTTCTTTCATGTTTTTCAAGACATGTGTTCTTGACAACTTTGACTATTTCTTGCAGTCTTTTCATTTTTCATCAGTATAATTGCTTATTTGTGGACTGTTTTTCTCTTCTAAGGTACGAATGCAATTAACAAATCTAAACAAAGTTCAAGAAAGAGCTTCTGAATCTACTGTACAACTGTACAACAGAAACAAAATAAAATATTTTAAGAGATTTTTTCCCTATGGCTTTGCATTCATATTTTATTAATTTAGAGCAAAATATAAAGCATAATTTTTAAGTAATATATAAAAGAGAAATAAATAATAACATAAATGATAAATTCCTTACAACACATACTACTGTCTCTACTTTGGTTATTTCCTTACCTGTGACTGTTCTTTGATTAAAACTTCTGCCGTTGGTCCAGCTGAATCTGAAACTACTGATTTTCTTTCTTCTTTCTCAAATAGTGTATTTTTTGAATCTACACCTTTAACTTTTATTCGACTGCTACTCCTTTCCACTGTTGCGCTGGTGTTCCCCTCACTTTTAGGTAACTCCTCTTCTTTATTTAAGAGCTTGTTAAGTTGCTGCTTAACTCGTTCAGATTCCTGTTTTTAAAAAGAAGTACCAGCTTATCAAGAATTGTTTTCGGACATTTTCTTTCCAATATTACAAGCTTTAGGAACCTGCATACATTTATGCCCACGTTAGTTCTCAACTCTTATTTTTACTGAGTTGGAGGAAGCTAAGTCATGTCATTAGTGTAATCAGTAATCCATAATTCCACAATTAAAATTAAAAGCTACAAAGAAACCTCTTTCACTTTTGAATGCTATTTTTATACCCAGAAATTTCCACTGGTTGTCATTTTTTAAGGCTTTAATTAATATACAAGCAACATAAAAATTAATAGGAAGTAAATGTTATAAAAAGTGATAGAGTGTAAGCAAGGTAATTAATATTCATCAAAGAATGAAAGATAATGTGGAAAATAACATTTCTTCTAGAATGAAATTTTTCTTTAAAATGTCACTTTTAGGGAGCAACACCTGTGGCTCAAAGGAGTAGGGCACCAACCCCATATGCCGGAGGTGAGTTCAAACCCAGCCCCGGCAAAAAACTGCAAAAAAAAAAAAAAAAAGTCACTTTTATAACTTATTTGTAGAAAAGAATATACCCATCAAAAGAAAATTCACAAATAATCTCACCACATAGATAAAAATCACTATTAACATTTGATATATTCTTTCTAATTATTTCTAAATATACCCAGTACGTATAGGTATATATTTTTTAATGTTATTTTTTTTTTTTGCATTTTTTTTTTTTGGCCAGGGCCAGGTTTGAACCCACCACCTCTGGTATATGGGGTTGGCGCCCCAATCCTTTGAGCCATAGGAGCTGCCCTATTTTTTAAATTTTTATCTAAATTGAATCGTACTATGCATGCTATGTTAACATAATATGCTATTTTCATTAAATAATGTCACATGTGTTTCTATGACAATAAATATACATTTAAATCAGACTAGATAACAGAAGAACACTTAATAATGTATTATGATTTGTTTAGCAAATTCCTTATCAATGAACATTTAGGTTATTTCAAAATTTTTACAATTAAAACATATCACATTATATACACTTGCGTAAAATGTCTATATATCTTTTTCTTCTTAAGAATACACTTTTAGAAGTAGATTTATTGAGTGAAAAGTCTGTATCTTTCTAGGTTTTGCTATATCTTTTTTCTAGAAAAGTATCAATTCATACTTTTTTAATAAGAGAAGCATATGAAAGGTTGCACATTAAGCATACATCCACTAGTATTAAATATTTCTATTCCTTAAATTTTTAGCAAAATGGTAGGTAAAAATATCTATCCCACTGTTATTTCAAATTGCATTTAAAACTAGTTTGTATGCCTTTATTGGTCATATGTCTTTCTGAATCATGACTTGCCTATTTGTGTTCTCTATATTGGGGAGGACTATCTATGTTTTGTAGATCTATAAAATATCTACATATAAACATTTTGCAAATATTTTCCATTCATCTTTCTATCTTATGATTTAACACAAAAAATTTTACACATACATCAACAAATACTACATTTTTATATTCATTTGAATCTGTTTCTAGACTTTCTATTTAGTACCAGAACCTGAACCACAGAGCTGTAGTTTTACATTGTATATTGATTTTTGGATGAGTACCTCCTCATTAATTGTTCTTTATTCGTATAATCACCAGTTTCTTGGCCTTTGTATATGCCAATAACAGCCAAGATGAGAAGCTAATCAAGGACACGATTCCGCTTTTAAGTGGGGTGCATAAGTATTTAAAATTTAAATGTCTTCTTGTATTTTTACTTTGACCAGTATAAAGTACCCATCTTTGTCTTTCTTAACTTAAGTTGCTTTAAATCTGCTTGTATCTGAAAATAAGATTGCAACCCATCCTTTCTTCTGATTTTCATTTGTTTGAAATACTATTTTCCATCCCTTAACCCTGAGTCTTGATTTGTCCTTCAAAATAGGTGTGTCTCTTGGAGACAGCATATGGATGGCTTGTTGCTTTTTTAATCCAATTAGCCAGCCTATGCTTCTTCAGTGGTGAATTCAATCCACTGACATTTATTAAGAGAATTGATAAGTGTGGTGGAATTCTATTCATCTTATTTTGTGTAAGTCCATTGTATAGTTTTATCTTTTGTGCCATTATGGAAGCTAAGTTTTAACTTTGCTGGTGATCAGTATTGAGAATAGATCTAGGTGTTTCCAGTAGGGCTGGTCTTGTTGTGGCAAATTTCCTCAGTGTTTGTATATCCACAAAAGATTTTATTTCTCCATCAATTTGAAGGTAAGTTTAGCAGGATACAGAATTCTGGGCTGAAAATTGTTTTGTTTAAGAACGTTGAAGGTGGATGACCATTCTTTTCTGGCTTTGAACGTTTCAGTTGAAAAGTCTGCTGTAATCCTAATGTCTCTGGCTCTGTAGGTCAGTTGACACTCCTGGCTACTTGAAGAATTTTTTTCTTTTATCTTGACTTTGGACAGGTTCATTATTGTGTGTACTTTTTGAAATATATGCTATTCTAATGTCATTCTAGACTAATACTATGAATAAAATTTTCTCTGCTAGATTTTGTGAGTGATATATTTGAACAATCAAGTGATAAAAGAAAATCTATTGCTTTATTTTATATTTTATTTTAAAATCAATCTATTTTCTCTCCAACTATCTTTCTTAACTACATTACTATTAACATTGATTATCTTACTTTTTTGGAAAAACAATTATATAATGTACACTAATTATACTTTTACCTATTTGTTTATGAAAATGTTTTTAGCTTCTTTCATTTCTTGTTTTATTGTTTACCTAGAATTTGGAAAAGAACAGTAAGATCCAATATTATATGAATGGAATGCCTGTAGTATTCTACTTAACTTGTTTTATTGTTTACCTAGAATTTGGAAAAGAATGGTAAGATCTAATATTAACTGAATGGAATGCCGGTAGTATTCTACTTAACTTAATTCAAATGCCTGCAGTATTCTACTTTTAAATATATTGTCTGTCAGTTTGCAATTGTCTTTGTTTGTTTAAAAAGTTCACTGTTCTTTATAGCTTACTATTTTGTTAAAAATGAATGTTAAATTTTATTAATGTATTCCTGTTGCATAAAAGGAATATATTTTAATCCTGGCAAAATAGTACAATATATAGACCATTACTTTACAAAGTCAAAATTACTCAATTAAGTTCTTTACAGATATTTTCTTCATATAGTAACAATTTTAAAGGAATATGATGTCCTTTACCTCTAAAGCCTGTTTCAGCTGTTCCTTTAGGAATGTGTTCTCAATCTCCAGAGTACGTGCTATTTTCTAGAAAGTCATAAAGAGGAAAAGGGTATTCACTTTCGTATTTAAGTTAATATATTTTTACCATTATTAATTTTCTAAAATCTATAGTTAGCCAAGATGATGATTTCAATATATGCTACACATTTGTCATACATAATAGTGGATAATACATTAAGTTATAGCTTCCTATTGATTTTCCACAAGCAAACTGACCATTAGTCTGGCAAATTAAAAGTGTAGTAAGTTAAACATTTCATTTATCCTTTTCTCTAGTCCTAAAATATTTAAACAGAAACACATCTAACTGAAAGAACAATCTCTACTCTTAACATAGTTCCGACTTCTGAGAGTTACTCTCGAGAATTCTCCATTAATGACTAGAGGCCTGTATAGCTCAGTGGTTAGGGCACTAGCCACATGCACTGGGACTGGTGGGTTCAACCCTGGCCTGGGCCTGCTAAACAACAATGACAACAATAACAAAAAACAGCCGGACCTTGTGGCAGGTACTTGTAGTCCCAACTAGTTGGGAGGCTGAGGCAATAGAATCGCATAAGCCCAAGAGTTTGAGGTTGCTGTGAGCTGTGACACCACAGCACTCTACCAAGGGTGACAATGAGACTCTGTCTCAAAAAAAAAAAATTCTCCATTAAATAGAACACTTTAAAAAGTTAATCAAAAATACCTATTAAAAATAATCCCCTAACCAACCTGATTAAAAAGAAAAGAAACAAAAGTCGGAATGGCCAAGGTGGAAGACTAAAGGCAGCCAACATACACCACCTCTCACGGACAGCACTGAGTGGACAGTGGATATCCTCCTTCAGATTGGTTATCTAAGAGAGACCATTGTGAATCAAAAGAGAGATAACAGAAGACACCCAAAAGTGAAAGAGTAGGAAGAGAGATGACCTGCTCTGAGATTTGGTGGTACACAGGGAAGATGAGCACACACAGGGGAAGGCACAGAAAGAGAATACTGAGGCTCCACACTCTTTTGATGATCATTGCTATCTGAGCTATAGGAGATTCTCTGCTACAGACGGCTGCAAGTCAGGCATAGGAAGCTATTTGAGACTGTGTAGCAGCACTACTCCAGAGAGAAGACAAAGCAGTGACCCACTGGCTTGCAAACTCTAGGCACTTTTTAAAATCCTAGACATAGAACACTGCCTCTATCCAGGGTCAGATCCATTGCTGCTGCTTCCTCATTGCTCCTACTAGACTGTGGGGTGAGAGTGAGTGGGGAGACCAGGCACTCAGGAGCTGCACACCTTTACTACTGCTAGTAGGACCTGGGTGGGCCAACACTTGTCAACATGGGCAGGACTTATGCTTAAGTCAACACTGTTGCCCATATATCTGAGCAGGGCAGCTCCTAAACCAACACAGGAGGACAACTGCCACCATCCAAGGGTGTGAGCAGCGCTGGACTCAAACCAGCCCAGGCTAACAAATACTACTAACCGTAGATCTGAGTGGAGCAGCTGCTAATATGACTTGGGCTGACAGTCACAACTGCTAACAGGACAATGTGGGGCATTAGCTCACTCTGCAACGTGGGGATTGGCAGTGACAACAATAACGAGGCACAATAGGTCCTCAGCAATAAACCCCAACCTAACAGAAATTGTCAAAATGTCAGAGATGGAACTCAGAATATGGATGTCAAATATGATCGATGGTATTAAAAAGAAAGTTGAAAGCCAACACAAAGAAACCAAACAAATGTTTCAGAACATGCATTAAAAAAATGAAAAACCTGCTAAAGAGATAGACACCATAAGTAAATATATGTCAGAACTGAAAGGAATGAAAGAAACATTTAGGGAATTTCAAATATATCAGAAAGCTTCAACAACAAGCTAAACCATATTCTTTCTTCTGAAAGAAAGAAAGCTTCAGAGCTTGAAGACAAGGCTTTCAACCTAACCCAGTCAGTAACAGATGCAGAAAAAATAAAAAGAAATATGGATTTACACAAAGATGGCCAATATAAGAATTATAGGTATCATTGAGGGACAAAAAGAATGAACAATCTATTCAAGGGCATTATTGAGGAAAACTTCCCTGTTACTAACTAAGATTCAGATACCCAGATACAAGATGATCACCAAGCAAAGAGAAGATTCATAGCAAATAGGACTTCTCCAAGATACATAATCATCAGTCTGGCAAAAGTCAAAAATGAAGGATAAAATTTTTACAAGCTACATGAAGAAAGCAACAACTAACCTACCAAGGAAAATCCATCAAGCTAAACAGCAGATTTCTCAGTGAGGAATTAGTAAACCAGAAGGGATTGGGGACCCATTTTTAGTTTTTTTAAATAGAACAACTTCCAGCCAAAACATTTGTATTCTTCAAAACTAAATTTCATATATAATGGAGAAATAAAGACTTTTCCAGATGAGCAAACACTAAGGGGATTTGTCACTACTATATTTGCTCTACAGGAGAGACCTACAACTACATTATATATGGAACAGCATAATAGATACCCACCAGTATAAAAAAAATCTAAACATTACAGCTATAGCAAAGAAACCAACAATGTGCCATCCAACATGATGAACAGAACAGATCCCACATATTAATACTAACATTGAAAATAAATGATCTTAATGTCCCACTTAAAGACACAGACTGCCTAAACAGATGAAAAAGCACACTCAAAATATATATGCTGTCTCCTATTTAACTTGCAAGAACTTAACACGCAGATGCCTAGCTTTAAAATAATGAAAAAAAAAATCCAATAAATAAAAACCAAAAACAAGCAGATATAGCTATTGCCAGAACAGATAAAATAGACTTTAAATCAAAAATCGTAAAAAAATAAAAAATAAAAAAAGGAGGTGGGCATTGTGGCAGGTGCCTATAGTCCCAGCTACTTGCAAGGCTGAGGCAAGAGAACTTCTTAAGCCCAAGAATTTGAGGTTGCGGTGAGTTGAGACAGCACGGCACTCTACCAAGGGTGACATAGTGAGACTCTGTCTCCAAAAAAAAAAAGGTAAAAAAGGAAAAAGATAAAGATGGTCATTTTACAATGATAAAGGGAGAAATTAAACAAAAATATACAACGAGACTAAATATATATGTATCCAATACAGGAGTTCCCAGATTTATAAAGCAAATTGTCCTAGAACTAAATATAGAAATAAACAGTAACATGGTAACTGCCAGGGATTCCAACACCATACAGACAGAACAGGACAGATCATCAAAGCAGAAAATCAATAATGAAACACTAGACTTAAACAGGACTCTAGAACAAGTGGACCTAGCAGACATTTACAGAACATCCTACCCCAAAACTACTGAATATACAGTCTTCTCATCAGCACATTAAGCAGTTTCCAAAATCGATCATATCTTAGGCTGCAAAACAAGTTTCATCAATTTAAAAAAATATATAAATCATACCATGTACTTTATCAGACCACAATGAAATAAACCTAGAAATTGATTCCAAAAGAAATACTCAAATCTACACAAAGTCATGAAAATTAAACAACCTGATGCAGAACGATCCTTGGGTTAAGAATGAAATTAAAATTAAAATCTAAAGATTCCTTAAACTGAGTGAGCAATGGGACATGAGATTTCAAAATCTATGGAATACAGCAAAAGTAGTCCTATGGAGGACTAGCCTTATATGCCCAAATGAAAAAAAGACAAAAAGATGTCACCTAATGTTATATCTCCGGGGAAAAAAAGAAGAGGAGATCAAACCCAAAGCCAGCAGAAGAAAAGACAAGGTCAATGCAGAACTAAATAAACTTGAAACAAAAATAACAATACAAAGGACCAATGAAACAAAAGTGGTTCTTTGACAATATAAACAAAATTGATAGATTAGGAGTCAGATTAGCCAGAAATAGGAGAGAATGGACTCAGATAAAAGATCAATCAGAAATGGAAAATGATAAATTCTGAGTGATACCACAGAAACACAAAATATTATCTGTGAATACTACAAAAACCTCTATGTATGTGAACTAGAAAATGTACAAAACAGAGAAATTTCTGAAAACGCACCTCTCCCAAGCCTAAATTTGGAAGAAATAGAAACCATGAATAGACTGGTAACAAGCAGCAATATTGAAGCAGTAATAAAAGAAACCCCCCCCCCAAAAAGCTCCGGACCATACAGATGCATAGCCCAATTATACCAAATGTACAAAACCTGGGACCTATCCTACAGAAATTATTCTGTAACATCAAGAAGGAGGAAATCCTCCCCAACTCATTCTACAAAAGCAGCATCCCTTGAGAACAAAGCCAGGAAAGGACATAACAAAAAAAGAAAACTACAGATCCATGTCACTTAGGAACACAGATGCAAACACCATCAATGAGATAATAGCAAAGTAAATTCAATAGGACACAAAAAATATAATTCACAATAATCAAGAAGGTTTCATTGCAGGGAATCAAGGGTGGTTTAACATGCAAATTAATAAACATGATTGACCACATAAACAAAAACAAAGATCATATGATCATCTCAATAAATGCAGAAAAAGTATTTGATAAAATCCAGCACCCCTTCATTATAAAAACACCTACAAAGTATACATGGAAAGAACATACCTAAAATAATAAAAGCCACATATGACAAACACATAGCCAATATCATACTGCACTGAGAAGAGATGAAAGTGTTCCCCCAAAAGACTGGAACAAGATAAGGTACCCTCTTCACCACTGTCTAGCCAGAGCCATCAGCCAAGACAAGGAAATAAAGGGTATCCATTTCAGAAAGGGGGAGGTGAAACTATCAGAATTTGCCAATGATATGATTTCCTATCTAGAAAACCCTAAGGACTCCACCAAAAGATCCCTAGAAATAACAAATGAATTCAGCAAAGTCTCAGGATGCAAAGTCAATATACATAAACCAGTAGCATTTCTATGTACTAATGACAGTTAAGCTGAGAGTCAAATCAAAGATTCAATACCATTTGCAACAGCTACAAAAAACAACAACAACAACAACAACAACAAAAAAAAAAACTTGGGAATATACTTAGCAAAGGAAGTGAAACATCTCTACAAGTAGAACTCTTAAACACTGATGAAAGAAATCACAGATGATAAAAACAAACAGAACAACCTCCCATGCTCACGGACTGGTAGACTCAACATCACTAAAATGCCAACACTGCCCAAAGTGATTTACAGAGTCAACACAATCCCCAACAAAATACACACATCACATTTAGCAGGTCTTGAAAAAATAATTCTGCTCTTTATTTGAAACCAAAACAGAGCCCAAATAGCTGAAGCAACCTTGGGTAAAAGTCACAATCTGGAGGCATCACATTAACTGACTTCTAATTATACTACAAAGCTAAAGCAACCAAAACTGACATAGAACAATGGAGCAGAATAGAGAATACAGATATAACACACTCTACTTAACAACCAACTGATCTTCAAACAAAGCCGACAATAATGCACACTGGGGAAATGAGGCCTCATTCAATAAATGGTGCCAGGAGAGGTAGATAGCCACATGCAGAAGAATGAAACAGGACCCTATCTCTTGCCATATTCAAAAAATCAATTCCAGATAGATAAAAGATTTAAATGTAAGTCATGAAACCACAAGAATTCTAGAGGAAAACATAGGACAAACTCTTCTAGACATTGGCTTAGGCCAGTGGTTCTCAACCTTCCTAATGCCTCGGCCCTTTAATACAGTTCCTGTGGGTCATGACCCACAGGTTGAGAAGCACTGGCTTACACAAAAAATTTATGTAGAAGACACTATAGGCAAAAATAAATCTATGGAACTTAAAAAGCTCCTACATATCAAAGGAAATACTAAACAGAATTAGCAGACAGAATGGGGAGAAATATTCCCAAACTTTATATCTGTAAGGAGTTAATATCCAAAATTTATAAAGAACTCAAACAAATCAACAAGGAAAAAAAAAAAACCATCCTCCTTAAAAAGTGGGCAAAAGATATGATCAGAAGTTTTTCAAAGGAAGATAGACAAATGGAAAAAAATATATATATATACACACACATATATGCATACTACATAAAACACTTAACACCATTAACCATCAGGGAAATACAAATTAAAACTGCAATGAGATACCAACTTACTCCTATCAGAATGGCCATTATTAAAAAGTCGAAAAGCAATAGATGGAGAGATAGGAGTGCTTGTGCACTGTTAGTGGAAATGCAATTTAATATAACTCCTTTGGGAAAAAGTACAGATTCCTAACGAAATAAATGTAAAGTTACCACTCAATCCAGGGGATCCTACTACTACTGTGTATCTATCCAAAGGAAAATAAGTCATCTTATCAAACAGATATCTGCACTCAATTGTTTATCGCAGAAAATAATATAAATAATTTAGGCTAAATCTGTGGTACCTCGTTATCCAACAATGTGTGGTATGATGCTATACAAGAGTTAAGAAATTAACTTCTATCAAAAGAAAAGAAAGTATTACAAAGCCAAAATGAAATAACAGGTTATTAGAGGAATCGACACCATGCTTACAAGGGCAGTTACTGATTCTTATCTCATTAAAAGGAAATGCTGAGAACAGGACAGTCTCCAGGCAAGCCTAGAGATGTTTTGCGAGGTAGGGGCAGTCCCCCAAGTAACTCAGTGTTCTGGAATGAGATAAGATCAGACAGTCACTAGTAAGCATGTGTTAAACATTGGTGTCATTACCGTAACTCTCCAGACCTGTTGTGTATAACCTTAATAGCCGTTGGGGAGGTGGCTCAGGGTTACCCTGCACTTAAGGTTACCCCGCCTCCTGCAAGCTTGTACTTCTAATCCATGTCGCGCCTGGTTCCTTCATGGACCGACCGAGACCAGGGTATTTGTATTCCTCTTATTGGATCACATAAAACAGACTGGGCTATATGGTTCATAATCTCTGAAGAATTTTTTATTTGATCTTGCAAGACTTATGCCTTTTTAAAATAGATTTGTACTGTTTTACTCATTTAGTGATGGAAAAGGCAAAATTCAAATCAGTTAAAGGGATTTAACCAAAGTTATGTAATCAACAAGTCCCTGTTTTGACTCCCACTATAACATTATTTCCTCCATGATGTTGCCTGTAGTTAAGGAATACGTGAAAATTTTCATAATCGTGGCAGAAATATGCCTAGATTTACCATTTTATTTTCTGAAACTTGCTTAGAAAATCCAATCAACAAAAAAGACATATCTTAGGAAGAATTTCAGTACATATACACATTCACAGAAACATATCTACATTTACATACATACAAATAAGTATCAGAGCACATATCATTAATTAAACATAGATGCACCGAGACTACCTGGACTTGAAGCAAATCCTCTTTTATTTTAAGTTCTTTGTCTGGAGACTTCTTACTGTAACAAAAAAAATGTTTCAAAATGCATCATGGTCTTTTAAAATGCATCACTGCTTTGCCTTCTTGAGGAAACTTTAATCATTCTAAAAAGGATGAAATTCTTTAAAGAAATTTGTCCTTTTGAAAGACAAAATCCATATAGGTCAAATGATAAACAACTGAATAATATTTCTCAAGCTAACTTCTCATCAGTATGATAAAAGACTGAGATTTTCAAAGTGCACTGGTCATGTTTTCTTCTCTAGAAATGATTTCTTCACTAAATCAAAGACAAAGCCATTTGTCCAACAAATTTCTTCTTAGAATGTATGGAGCTGTATAATGACTGAATTCATAGAGTCTTTAAAAAACTATCTCAAATTAAGGTTTGACCAAGTAAATTCAAAATGCAATAATTATTTTAGAATGATAAAGAAGATATTCATTTACTTCATAAGACTACTTTATAATAATCCACATACATCAAAAAAATAGATGACATTTTTTTAAGAAGTATAGGGCTCGGCGCCTATAGCTCAACCGGCTAAGGCGCCAGCCACGTACACCTAAGGTGGCGGGTTCGAGTCCCCAGCCTGGACCCGCCAAACAACAATGACGGCTGCAACCAAAAAATAGCCGGGCGTTGTGGCGGGCGCCTGTGGTCCCAGCTACTTGGGAGGCGGAGGCAGGAGACTCGCTTGAGCCCAGGAGTTGGAGGTTGCTGTGAGCTGTAATGCCACGGCACTCTGCCCAGGGGGACAGCTTGAGGCTCTGTCTCAAAAAAAAAAAAAGAAGTATAGTAGAAAAGAACAGCCCAGACTGAGGAACAAATTACAAAGCATTAGCTAGACCATCAAGAAAACAATGTGAGTTCTTTTTTCCTATAACTATGTCAAGATTTAACTCTGCCTTCCTATTCCTGAATATCTTTTGGTTCATTCTCTTCCTCCAATTCATTTTTGGTTCTTTTTCTTCCCTTTTTAGGCTTTTCCCATAATCATAGCCTGCCCTGCTTATAAAACTATACGTTTACTAATTTATGCTTCTAAAACCTGTTAATAAGTTATGTTTATTTGATCTTAAATTGCCTAAATAAAAATATAAATTAACAGAGAAGAAAAAGATTAACAGGCATCTTTATGTCTTACTCTTCCAAATCCTCAGATTTTCTTTTGTCTTTTTTCTTCTCCCCTTTTGCAGTTTTCTTCCCAGGCTTTGTTTTCGGAATGATCGTCTACAAGCCAGAAATAAATAGTTAAGGACATAATAAATTATAAGGAAATATATGATCATATACGTTACTAAAGTTTCCATTTTACTTTGAGAAGGCCTATACAATGTTTCAAGAAAAATTATCTGAATAGAAGCAAAACAAAATTAATGATACATCCAGACTATTTGTAATAATAGTTTATTGAATGTAAGTTGTATATAAGCTAATATATATTAAAACATTAAAATTCGAATAAATTATAGTCAATTCTATTATAATGTGATATATGTATTCCTGAAAAGCAATTCACTTATGCAAAAACATGCAATAAAACCTACAAATGTATGGGGGGAAATGGGTTAGGTGCACATCATGCAAAAACATGGCCCAATGATACATTTAAAACAACAGAAACCTATCAGAAACAGTACTACAGTTGTGTACACAGTTAAATGATTGAGAATACATAAATATCATGAGACATATAGCCTTTTATCTTGAAAAAGATCAAAAGCTTGTTTTCAGAAGTGAGCACTGAATAGGTTTCAATTTGTGAGTTATTGCACAGTAAAAGGGGGTTATCTGAAATTGAATAAAAAAATCATAATACTAGATATGGACAGATACGGGCTGGTGTGGCACACTATATATGCTGTGAACTACGTTAGTTGGAGAAAGCCACTTTCTGCCTTCATCTAGTATTTTTGCAGATGAAACTATGCATAAATGCATAGGAAATTCAAATTGCATTCAAAATAATCATGTTGGAATAAACTTTCATTTCAAAACAACTATTATAGCAGAATTGACTAAGTGTTTTAAAGTATTCTTGAACTGCTATGTAGTATCAGATTGTTTTATATATGAAAGTAGGGGGAAAATTTAACAATAGATTATTGAAATTTTTAGATGGGCTTAATAATAGGGAGCTATTAAGGCATTCGGTGGTTATTTCCAGTTTTAGACCACAATTTCCAACAGATATCAATTTCACTATAGTAGCAAACTTGTCATAAATTAGACATAAAGTATAATAATCCCTCATAAAATATAGAAAAAAGTATAATAATGAATTTTAGTGAGAAGGTTTAACATCTCAAAATACTTCTCTAGCTTAAATATGAGCTTTTAGAGATGTTTACCATTCAGGAAAAACATATATATGTACACACACACATGCACACATGTTTTAGTGTTTATAATCAATAAACACTAAAATAATGAGAGGGATAAAGACTAAAAAATAACAAACAGATCATCAGTAAGTTGTGAGACAACTTCAAGTAGACCAATATCCTTGGTAATTGGCATTTGTGAAGAAGAAAGGTGGAGGTAGGGGAATGAGGGAGCAGGGAGAAGGGAAGAGGGTGGGGGATGGAGCAACAGTGTATGGCACACTTCTTGGGGGTGGGACACAATTATAAGAGGGACCTTACCTAACAAATACAATCAGTGTAACCTAATTCTTTGTACCCTCAATGAATACCAAACAATTAAAAAATTTTTCAAAATAATAAAAAATGAAAGTCTTATAAAATGAAAAAAAAAAAGAACAAATCTGGAGGCATCACATTATCAGACTTCAAACTATACTCCAAAGCTACAGTAACCAAAACAGCACAGTATTGGCACAAAAATAGACCAGTGGAACAGAACTGAGAACCCAGATATAAAATCATCAACATAACAACAATATACACTGAGTAAAAGAAGCCCTATTCATTAAGTGGTGCCAGGAAAACTGGATACCCACCTGCAGAAGAATGAAACAGGATCCATATTTTTCAACACTCACAAAAGTTAATTCGAGATGGATTAAAAATTTAAACAAAAGGCATGAAACCATAGGATTTTTAGAAGAAAATATAGGAAAAACTCTTCTAGATACTGATCTAGGCAAAGAATTTATGCCTCCAGTGGCAATTACAGGAACAAAAAATAAATAAATAAATAAATGGGACTTAATTAAATTAAAAAGCTTCTGCTTCACCAAGGAGCAAATACACAACTTACAGAATGGGTGAAAATATTGGAACTATACATCTGATAAAGGGCTAAAAACGAGAATCTACTAAGAACTCATGCAAATCAGCAAGAAAAAAATCAACTCCATCAAAAAGTGGGTACACTACATTAACAGAAGACAAATGACCAATAAACATATTTTTTAAATGCTCACAATGACATATCACCTTACCCTCTTTAAAAATGCTTTGAAAGTACTAACTATTCATGAACTCCTGCTATTTTGACTCCCAGAATTGCTGTGGTTTTCCCCCTCACCAAACATATTCAACTTTTCTTTCAATTTTTAATTACCCTAATATATCCAATGATGTTGCTTTAGATAGCCAGGGTCAGTTTCTCCTGCTTACACAAAGGAATATAAAAGCCTTAACTAATTCACAAGAAAATACTGATTAATATTTCATAGCTATGAATAAGAATCAAATGTGGCTTTTAATTATTAACCTTGGTTGTCTAAAAAACTAAATTATTGAGATTTTAAAAAAGTAAGTTAAGAATGGAAGAAAAATAACTTTACTGGAAATCCTGAGTTTGACAGATGCTATAGCCATCATTCTCTCTCCACCATCCTGTTCCACCAACTCCCATATTAAATTTCCTTTTCTGAAAACAGATTACCTCTCAATCTCTTATAGATATAACATTCCCTCTATATATGTAGTAATTCCCCTTCTAAATTTCTCCTTCACACTTTCATATAGTGTTCATAAATGCTACAAGTAATTTCCAATGAGAAAAGGCAAGGTCAGTCATTCATTGACTACATTTCACATATGTAAAGTATTAGAAATATGACTATTTAACTTTAATATAAGTTAGAAAATTAAAATCTTAAATAATGAAGTAAGAATGATGTGCAGGGGCTGAGATAAGAATGGAAAAGAGGTGTATATGAGCGGCACATTTTCTAAGGATTGAATAGGAAAATCATGTGGTATATTAAACAAACTCATGAAAAATCATTTCTCTCTAAGAGCAGAAAGAGGCAGAACAATTAAATAAACAAAACAATAAAACAGGCTCAGCTCCTGTAGCTCAAGCAGCTAGGGCGCCAGCCACATACAGTGGAGCTGCCGGGTTTGAGCCTAGCCCAGGCCTGCCAAACAACAATGGCAACTACAATGAAAAAATAGCCAGGTGCCATGGCAGACACCTATAGTCCCAGCTACTTGGCAGGCTGAGGCAAGAGAATCGCTTAAGTCCAAGAGTTTGAGGTTGCTGTGAGCTATGATGCTACATCACTCTACTGAGGGCGACATAGTGAGACTCCGTCTCAAAAAAAATTAAAATAAAATAAAAAATAAAGCAAGACCAGAAACTGCTGCAACATCTCCAAGTCATCTAAGAAGATGCAAAATTTATTCAATGTGGCTTTAACAGTGCGTGATTAAAATGTTGCAAAATTCTTACATTTAGACTACTCGATTCACTATTTTACTATTCACAAATTACTATTTTAGCCTCTTTTGTACTGATATCCTCTTCCTAGTTGAAATGCTACCTAGAGAGAACTGTCCTAATTTGAACATAGGTGACAGTCCTCATCTTCTATTTGCCACCTGTACGAGATCACTGATTCTCTGACCGATTAAGCTGCAACTCCCCTGGTATTATTTCTGCTTCCTCCTCTGATAAAGAAGAAATATCAACATTAACATTAGCGAATTCAAGACTAGTTTCCCTTCAGCCACACATTTTATGTTTTTAAGTAGCTAATTAAAAAATTCAGTTCTAATCTACTTTTCTTCATTGTCTATAGCATGAATTTATAAGCTGTCCAGAAAAAGGGCAAGGAGAAAGAAAATACAAAAAGCAAACAAAATTGCCTTTATCTTCAGTATGTCTGTTCATTCTACATGATACAACAAACTGGGACATGCTCAGCACCTAACTGCAGATAATCCCACAAAATGCACTGAAAATATATTTGAAAACCTTAATTTCCTGATAATTCACTGATAACTGGTAACACAGTTAAATATTTGACCTAGAAATGTCTTTGGGGATGTTTACATTTTATGTCTGTTTTTCATAGCATCCATTTTGGTTTTGATGGCTATTAATAAATAATACTATAATTTAGAATGTAACAGTATGTTATTGCTTTAAAGCGCAGTTGCTACAGATCATTAATATCGGAAATCTATTATAAAACATTTAAATATCTCTCATTTCTATCCTAAAGATAATAACCTTGTTATGTACTATATGGCATTTTTAGACACTAAAATTTTACCCACCTCTGTCTCTGTCAACTTTTGTAGTTCATTTTCCAGCATCAGTTTCTCCCTTGATAACCCTTCAAAATCACTTTGCATCTGTTTGTATTTCTAAAAACATATATTATAATTTTAGTAATAATGAAGAAAAACATCCTAATATAAAAAAGTTGTTTGGATACTTAGTTTTTATGGTATAAAAGTATTAACTCATGAAGAAAATGAGCCATTGGTATGAATCGGTATAGTGAGGCTGTAGCTGGGGCTAAAGGAGGTAAAGAAACTAGAAGCGGCAATGACTGGAACTACTCAGAAGGCTGCAAGATATTACAGTCTAATATTTCAGAAGTTAAATAATAAGTTCACGTGAAATTAAAAGGATAGATCATTATCCTAAGAACAGAAAATACCACACGTTCTCACTTAAAAGTGAGAGCTAAGCAATAGATATAGCCATACAGAGTGGGATAATAGACACTGGAGACTCAGAAGTTGGGGATGAGAGTGGGATAAAGGATGAAAAATAACCCATTGTGTACAATGTACACTATTCAAGAGAGGGGTATACTAAAAGCCCCGACTTTACCACTACATAATTCACACACCTAACCAAAAAAACCTCTTTCTTAAAAAGAGGTCTTTAAAACCCTTAAATCTACTGAAACAATTTTTTTTTTAAAAAAAAAAAAAAGGATAGACAAAGATTTCCAGTTCACATGTATAGAAATTTCTTGGATAAACTACATAAGCACTGAATATGTTTATGTGATCTGAAAAATTTCTCGAGTCTATCAGGGTTGTCCAACCTTATTTCTTTTCTGCTGCACATTGAAAGAATAAGCGTCATCTTGGGCCACATGATATATTCACAAACACTAACAAAAGCTGATGAGCAGGGGGAAAAAATGGTCCATGCATACTTTTTGTGATAACCACAGATAAGCAAAACAGGCCTCAAATAATCTGCATGTGGCCTGCAGGCTGCAGGTTAGACACCCCTCACAGACTAAAGAGCAAAGTGTGATTTCAAATTGAGAATGCTATACTTACAGCTTCTAATACACTTAGATCATTTATAGCTCTGAAAAACAAACCAAAAATATCTATAATGTAATTTTATACTTTTTATTTATGTAACACATATACATTTTCTTTGTAAAAAGTTTAAAATACCACAAATAAAGGTTAGAGTACACTTTGACTACCAATCCAAAAATTTAATGCTCTCCCCAGAAATATTGTTGGAATACTGCTACCTTTTCAGAACTTATTCCATGCATTTACACAATACTGCATGTACCTATTCAATTTTATATATTTTTTTCTTTTTTTGAGACAGAGTCTCCCTGTGTGCCCTAGGTAAAGTGCTGTGACATCATTGCTCACAGCAACCTCAAACTCTTTGGCTTAAGCAATCCTCTTGCCTCAGCCTCTTGAATAGCTGGGACTACAGGCACCCACCACAATGCCCAGCTAGTTTTTCTATCTTTTAGTAGAGACAAGGTCTCACTCTTGCTTAGGCTGTTCTCAAACTCCTGAACTGAAGCAATCCACCCACCTCAGCCTTCCAGAGTGCTAGGATTACAGGCATGAGCCACAGCGCCCAGTGGATTAGATTTCTGTTTTATTTTCATTTCTTATAAATGATGTTGCTATTATATGTATTGTTTTCACTTGACATAATGTCTCATATCTCTTTATGTCACTACCCATAGATGTTTATCAGTTCTCTTAAATGTTACTTATTGTTCCATAACAGGAATTGACAAACTTTTTTTTGTAAAGCGCTGTAGATAGTGAACCTTTTAGAATTCTGCAGGCCCAGTATTCTCTGTCACTACTAAACTCTGCAAAGTTGCTACAGATGATAGGTAAACAAAAGAGTATAGCTATGTTCCAATAAAAGTTTATTTATTGGAACAAGGGACAGGGCAGATTTCATTCATGGGCTTCAGTTTGCTGACCTCTGCTCCACAGAATGGATAACCCATAGATTTTTTTTTTACAAGAGTTGTTTGTTCATTAAATCAGAATTTACAACAGCTTTATTAAGATATAATTATTAAATAATATTTATTAAACTTGTCAATTTGTAGTACAATTCAATGTTTTCAATATACAAAGGTATATATGTGTGTATGTGTTATATATATATATATATATGTGTGTGTGTGTGTATCTATTTCACAACCCCACAGCTAGCATAATACTCAATAGTGTAATGTTGAAAGCTTTCCTGTAAGATCAGAAACAAGGATACCCATTCTCACCACTTCAATCCAATATAAAACTAATTTCCCAGCCAGAACAACTAGTCAAGAAAAAGAAATAAAAAGCATGAAATTAGAACAAAAGAAATAAAAGCATGTCAGTTTCCAGATGGCATGATCTCACATACAGAAAACCCTAAGGACATCCCCCTAAAACTTTAAGAATAAATGAATTCAGTAAAGTTGCAAGATACAAAATCAACACACAAGAATTAGTTGCATTTCTATATATTAACAACAAACTATCTGGAAAAAAATTTTTAAATCTCATATATAATATCATAAAAACAAATCAAATACTTAGAAATAAATTTAACCAAGAAAGCAAAAGATTAATACACTGAAAACTATAAAACATTGGTGAAAGAAATTGAAGAAACACAAATGAAAATACTGTATCCATGAATTAAAAGAACTAATGTTGTTAAGATATCCATACTACCCAAAGCAACCTATAGATTCAATGCAATCCCTATCAAAACTCCGATGACATTTTTCATAGAAAGCGAAAAAAACGAATGTAAAATTCATACGGAACCACAAAGACCCTCAGTAGCCAAAGCAATCATGAGAAAAAGTACAAAGTTGGAGGTATCACATTATCTATAGTAATCCAAATAGCATAATCCTGGCATAAAAACAGATATATAGCCAATGAAACATAATAGAGAGCCCAGATAAAAATCCACACACTTATGCTCAATTGATCTTTGACAAATACCCAAAATGCACAATTGGGAAGAAAAGACTCTTGAATACTGTTGGAGAAAGTATGGAAAAATGAAACAGGGCCCTTATCTCACCTCATGTACAAAAATCAACTCAAAATGTGTAAAAGACTTAAACATAGACCTAAAACTGTAAAACTACTAACAGTGGTTCTTAACCTTCCTAATGCCATGACCCTTTAATACAGTTCCTCATGTTGTGGTGATCCCCAACCATAAAATTATTTTTGTTGCTACTTCATAACTATAATTTTGTTACTGTTATGAATTGTAATGTAAATATCTGATATGCAGGATGTATTTAGGCGCCCCTGTGAAAGGGTTGTTCAACCCCCAAAGGGGTCACAACCCACAGATTGAGAACTGCTGTACTAGAAGAAAACATAGGGGGAAATCTTCTTAACATTGCTCTTGGACAAGATATTTTGGGTATGACCCTGAAAACACAGGCAACAAACCAAAAATAGACAAATAAGATTATAACAAACTAAAAAGTAAAGGAAACAATCAACAGTAAACGCACAACCTATTGAATCAGTGAAAATATTTGCAAGCCATGTTATCTCATAAAGGTTTAACCTCAAGGTAAGTAAATAACTCAACCCAATAGCAAGAAAACAAATAATCCTATTTACAAATGGGCAAAGGGCCTGATATTTCTCAAAAGAAGATATACAAATGTTCAACAAGTATATGAACAAATGTTCAATGTCACTAATCATCATGGAAAAGCAAATTAATGCCATAATGTAACAGTACTTCATACCTGTTAGGATAGTTACTTATCAAAAAACAAATAAATGGTTATCATCAAAAAGAAAAGCAATAACATATATTAGAAAGAATGGGGAGAAAACAGGGACTCTTGTACACTTGGTAAGAATATAAATTAGTACAGCTTTGTGGAAAATAGTATGGAGGTTCCTCAAAAAATTAACAAATACTCCTACCATAAAATAAAGTTCCACTTCCAAGTATACGTTCAAAGAAATTAAGTGAAAGAGATATCTGTACTCCCATGTTCAATGCAACATTATTCATAGTAACCAAGGTATTTAATGAACCTTAGGATCCATTAATGAGTGACCAGATAAAGAAAATGTGGTAAATTTGTGTGTATGTAAAATAAAATATCATTCGACCTTTATGAATGAAACTGGAGAACCATATGCTAAAGGAAGTAAGTCAGGTATAGTACAGCAATTACTGCATGATCTCAATTATATGTGAAACCTAAAAATTCAAACTCAGAGAAACAGAAAACAGAGTGGTGGCTGCTATGGGCTGGGGTTGGGGAAGAATGGGAAGATATTCGTCAATGAGTACAAAGTTTCAGTTAGACAGGAAGATTAAGTTCTAGAAATATATGATACAACATATAGTGACAATACTCAATGTATTATACACTTGAAAATTTCTCAGAGAGTAGATTTTAAGTGTTATCACCACAAAAGAATTGATAAGTATATTTGAAGATGATATGTTACACACCTTGCTTTAGCCATTCCACAATGTACACATATATCAAAAATCACATTGTATACTATAACTATATACCATTATATTCAATTTTAAAATATTTATTTTAAAAAGTAATTATATGAGTTGACAAGTAAAAAGGATAAGTATAAACTACATCTCGTATCACTGTAACTTTTTAAACTATGGTTAAACACACATAAGATAAAATATACCATATTAACCATTTTAAGCATACAGTTCAGTGGTGCTAAGTACATTCACATTATTTTTACAACCAATCTCCTGAACTCTTTTCATCAAGTAAAAGTGAAGTTTTATATGCATCAAACAATGATTCCCCAATTCCACCTTCTCTATCCTCTTGGCAACCTTCATTCTACCCTGTCTCTGTGAATTTGCTTACTCTAGGTATCTCATGTTAAAGAGAATCATACACTATAGTATTTGTCTTTATTTTACTTTAGCCTAATCCTTGAGGTTCACCCATGTCGTAACATATGTAAGAATTTCCTTTTTTTTTAACACTGCATAATATTCCATTGTGGGTATATACCACATTTTGTTTATCTATTCATCCATTGTTGGACATTTAGGTTGCTTCCGTCTTTTCACCATTGTAATGTTTTAATGAACATAGGTATAAAAATATCTCTGCAAAACTCTGCTTTTGGTTTTTTGGGGGTATATACTCAGAAATGGAATTACTGAATCATATGGCAATTCTATTTTTAATTTCTTGAGGAAGCAACATAATGTTTTTCTTTTTTTTTTTTTT